TATTTTTCCAGTCCTAAATTTTTTTAATATATTTTCTTTTAACATACCTATGCCTCTTTTCCCGACAATCTGCTTTTTTTTTTTAAATCGCTATCCTCTTCGTTTAAGAAACAATCACTTATAGGTATGGGCCACCTAAGATTCCATGTCATAACTTGAGGGGGGGAGGGGTCACAGTGAAGAGTGATTGATACAAAATGACACATAGTCGCATACAGTATTTAATTTTTGCGTCTAAATCAGGAATAGGAGAGGAAGATATTTGCTGCATTTATCAACATTAAGGATTCATGGTAATTCATGCAAATTATTTGCTATCATTGGAACACGTGAGGAACTGTCATAAAAACATATTCAATTCTATAGTGGGTTTGTCTTCTTCAATTCATCTTCTGAGGATTTTTTCATTTCACTTAGTTATCTCAATAAAAAATAGTGATATTTTCATAATTATTTTTATATCATATTACTTTAATTTTTTTCGAAATGAATAACTTTAGGTAGAATATCAGTATATTGTAATTAGAAGATTTTATACACATTAGTAACTTAAAAATTCATATCCTTGTGTACATTTATAAAAAGAATATTTTAACACATGCAATCACAATAATATTAGTTTTGTTGTTTACTTAATGAGTTTTAATAAACATTATCTACTTGTAATTGCATATGTAATAATGTAATATTATTTCTTACATGTTCCAACAACTAATATAATTTATATAATAATATGATCATGTGATCAAATTGTATTTATATACATACAATGTCTTTACACAATTATAATATTGAACCTTATATCATTTTGAAGTCTGTTTAACTTGAATGTATATATGTATATTTTCTTATGTAATTTTTTATTTATTATGTTAATGTTTCAGGAGTACCATTTACTTCATCATCGACACCTACAGCAAGATGCTTTCGAAGTTTTTACGATTGGTTTTCCAGTGTCATTGAAATTGTCCCTTTGGCATTGCTGACATCTGGTATATTAAGCGCATATCAGATAGATGAAAAAATTCGTACGTTGTTATTATTTCTTGGTACAGTGCCAGTAATTTTTCCACTAGCGATAAAACAGAAGGAAAGCCAAATCAGGAAACTGCGTTTCTTGACTAATATTACTATCGTACTACAGATACTGACGATAATGATACTCGGCTTAAAAAATGGCAATTACAATGTCATTAGTTTAGTTGCTTCCTATACTTTTGAACGTTTCTTTGTAGAAGAATTTTGTTATCGATACAGTATTCCGTATACCGATCTGATGCAGTATTGCATATGCTTTGTGGAAGTTTTCACAGTATCAACGATGAAAGAATTATAAAAAAATAGAGATTTTTATTTCAATATTTACTTGTCATCTATTTCAGGCAACTGTTATTCAAAATTTAAGCCTCTTGATTAGTCATGACCACATTGTAATTGTGATGTCATAAGCAAGAAATTATACGTTTAAATTTCTTTGTAAATATTCCGTACGTAAATAAAGAAATTCTATTTGTAAATAAAGAAAATTTGGATAAAACGAAATAATGTGATCGCATTAAAGTACTAGTGAAAGCGAGTTGAAGCTATCGTTACTCCTCTTAGCAGTTAATAATCCTAAAAAGCATGCGAAACGTGTATGCAGCCTATTTTCACTTCGTGTATTTGTAATAATAATAATAATAATAGCTTTGTTGAAAACATGGATAACAATAACATAAACTAAATAATATACAAGACAGTAACAAACAAGAAGTGATAATAGATACAAATATATTGTAGAAGAAATGAGATTACAAATATAAATATATATAATTTTACGTATCATTTCTCGCTTATAACGTCACATTCTAATATAACCGCGACAACGGAATCAGAAGGCTTAATAAATTGTACATATTTGATACAAAGAATGTCAATTTTTAAGATAACATAAAATTTATGCCATTTGTTATAATATTAATCTTATAACAATTGTTCTATAATAGATGACATTGTAATATATTATACATACATAATATATGCACCACTGATTTTGCTATCAACTTGTAAATTAACAAGTTTTAATAATGTTTATACTAAATTTTCATATATATTTTTTACATGTATCAGAAGATACTGCCAATTTTTAAAGATAATTATTACAATCTTTAACGTATAGAGAGGGTACCTTAATTTAGCTAACATAACTTAAAAATATGCTCCTTGCAGACTAGGGATGTTTATCGATAATATCGAATATTCGATATTTTTACTGTTCGATATAAAAATATCAAATAAAAAATTATGAATATCTAGATATTTTTTAACTATTCATATTCACTCTCTATTTTTATGAATACTTTTAATTTTTAACTTTCTTCTTTGAAGACTTATCTATCAAAACTTAGATAGCTGTACTGTACTGTGCATAAATCTTCCAATCAAATAGAATCTTCCTTATGTTAATAAATATTGAAAATGGTTTTCGTTTGTAAGCTTAATTATTAAAAAAAATTGAAATATTATCGTCGCTTTGTTAAATTTTTTTATAAAAAAATTTATTTATTATTCGATGTCTATTTATTTATGAATATAAATAGTGTTTAAATATCTGCATATATTCATAGTCGATATTTTTGCTCGATATCGACATATCTACCGTAGACCTATTTTAGACAGAAGTTGTATAGGATGATAAAAATCATTTTTTTTAATTTATTTTAAAAAATTGTAAAGTGAAAAATTATGTAAGTTGCGGCATGCAATTATACATATCTTTTTTAAAAAGCAGTTCTATTTTCTGTACACTAATTGATTATTTATCTCATTTTTTGCATAAAAGTATGGTTATCAAATAAATTCATAATTTACAAAATATGTAATATTTCATGTCAAAAATTGCCAAACTAAAACATAAGATATAAGTTTAAGATAACTGACTTTTTTGATAACCATAATATTTTTATATGCAAAGTAATTAGAAGAATCATATTATGTAAAAAAAAAACCATAATTTTATTTAAAAAATATCTTTGTGTAACTTTAAAAAATCGGTATTTTGTATTCTTAGACAATTGACCCAAGGAGAACAAAACAATAATATCAATTTGATATCATATTGACCGAAGTTTAGTTATTTTTTTATTGTCTCTTTCTCCTTAGGTGATTTGCCATTATTTGTCTCTTTTTAGATCATATATATATATATAACTTTTGTCTGAAACATTTTTACCTGCCGGGATCAGTTTTCGAAATATTCGTTTGGATTGTTCAAAATAGGATACTCTGTATATGTACGAAAACAATAGCTGCGTTCGGCAATGCAAATCTGAGTCGGAGTGCTCTTTTTCTACAGTGTACGTGACATATGCTATAATATAAGAGCACTCTGACGCCTCAGATTTGCAATTACCGAACGCAGCCAATAAGTAGACATTTTTTAAGACTATTTTAAGAACGAAAGTATTTGATGCGCTATTATTTTTGTCGGTATTTAGCCATCAATTATTTATTAGCAAAACGAAATATTTCGATTCGAATTGGTTCCAGATAATTATGATAAGTCTCTTGTAAATGTACAAAAATTAGGTTTCTAAAAAATTATATTTTTATTACTGTTTTATATTTATCTTGAAATAATAAAATAATTTTTTAGTAACAGTTTAATACATTTTGTATGACATAATTATAATAATAATAATTTCACAAAGTCTTAATGAAAAGGTACTAAACTTTCTGACACAATTAATATAGTATAAAAAATAATCTAGGATGTATATGTTGAATTTACTCAATACTTTTTATAGATGTTTAAAAAAAAATACTATAAATTGTGCATGGATCCAGTTTGTACAGCCTTTTTTACTTATATAAGACTTATACATATGGCAAGATAATATTTAATCGCCGGCCTATTTAAATGATATAATAGTTACATATACAAATAACTATAAATATGATCTTTTTATAAGTAACAATGACTGATAGTGATTTTTTATTGTAATATTCAGTATACGAAAAATAAAAAAATTATTACTTCGGTTTATTATTTAAGTCTACATTTTTTGTCTAACTAAATATTCATCTAAGAAAATAATCTAGATAGAAACAATACCATTATAGTACAATTGTTCAGCGAATGATTGCTCCAGTTTTAAGCCTCTTATATATACATATATTACAATTTATTTGTATATCGAGATTGTATATCAAAATTTATCTGTCATATTTTGAGATATGCAATCTAGGATTATTTTTTTCTGCAAGATTTTGCTACAAATTTATCGGCAATGTATAACATCTTTTGAAATATACATTTTTTTCTTAAAAATTATCATATTTATTCAATATCATAATTCTCAAAAATTTTCCCGTATTCGAATTCTCATCTAGATTCTCCCGAGTGTCATCCTTGTTTAATGTTTGAGAAACAATAAGGATGGAGTGATACCTGGTAAGGATGGAGTAATATATCTCTGAAAAATATAATGAAAATCCACAATTATTTTTTATTTAGTGCAATTCGTGAAATTTTTTAATTTAGAGGAAAATAAACTTATCTAAAATGCCATAATGTTAGCCTCTTAAAGATGCTATAAATAATATTAATAATTTGCGCTTTCTCGCACTCTAAGTCAAGATCCATCTCACGTAGGACAACAACAAAATGTGATTCAATCAACAATCTAAGTAACACTTTCAAAAATATTTAATAGCACCCAAACTGAGACGCATTCGCCGCGGATAAGTGGCTCTTCTCCAGAACTCGAACTACTCCAAGCTTCTTCTTTTTCTTTTTAATTTAAATAGTCCTGGTTTCCATCAAAACGGATGAACTTGACCAATCAACTATTCCCAGCTTTAGTCATGTCATTAATCGTGCATGGATTGTGGGAATTAATGTAGCATAGAAAGGCGGTCACTTCTCGTTCGATTTGTGACAATTTCCGAGGGACAGAATCGATGATCGTGGGTGTATGTACGTACTATATATATGCGCGTACATACGTAGTCGCTATTACTGCGGCATCCGTTAACAAGAGTGTCGTAACCTCACATACAATTCTTTCTCAACATTACGGTTGTCATAATTTTGTGTTTAAAATTTTGGAACTAAAACTTCATTATGTCGTTGGACGAAGTAAGGGCGATGAGCAAATTTTATTTTGATAAAATTATTTAATAATTTGAATAATTATCCGTCAAGATAGAACGTGTCGTACTGTAATCTGCATTTCCCTCTTTAGAGCGTTAAAATTTACAATAAGTTTGACGATTAGTTACTTTTAATTGGTGAGATTAGTGATATATATATTTTAATTAGATAATTATATACAGTTTAATTACAGCACCTCAAAAATCAATGAAATTAGGCTTATTCGATATTTTGTTGCACAAAATGAACAGATCTAGAACAAATATGTCGTTCTATATCCCGCGAACCGACGAGATATTAATCAATATCCCCGTTTTATTATTGTAACTAGTTTAATTGAGATATTAATTGTTAAAGTGTTGACAAATATTCAGGTTAGGAAGAAAATCTGTCACATCGATGACATAGCGTAGAAGATTACAAATTCTTTGTTTTACAAACATAACTTTAATTTTGTGTGTGTGGTGCGCGCGCGCACGCGTGTGTGGTAAGTGATTGATTGCACTACACATATCGGACTACCGACACGAAATACTATGTATTAAAACCATCAATCCTAGCTTTTTGTTTTCACAATAAAGGGCCCAGAGATAATTGGACGTTAATATTATCAACAATTGATATAATTTTACAATTGTTATCACGTAAATGTGTGAATAATATACATTATTAAAAAAATATGTAAATTAATTTACTACGTTTGTATCAAAATGTGTTAAGTACCTCATATCGTTTTTGTTCAACATTAACAGCAAATAAGATTATAATGATGCACTATTATATCATACTGTGTCACTTAATTGAGGGTGCGATCCATTTAACGTTGAAAATGTTTCATCAATCAGAAGAAAGAATTTTACGAATTGCGACTAATATCAAAGAATGCTTTAAAACAAATAGCGTAAAGTAAATCGCACTCAACATTACTTGTTGAAAAACATCCAATTAGTTCAGGTTTACTATGATAATCTGTAGTTGATGAGAGTCTGAAGAATAGTGACTCGAGATTAGTCGAAATCGGTGAATCGACCAAGAGTTGACCAGCAGCCAATTTCTGAGACTACCGACACGTTGTAGACCTGTCGATCTTTTAGCAATAGGAATAAATATTAAGATTCAACCAATCAGAAACTAATTACACCCTTAATCGATATTCATGGTCGATTCTTATATGTATTTAAGATCGTCTTAAGTCAGTCTTGAGAAACCAGGAATCATTCAGTAAAACATTATTTTATTACTTAAAACGGTCTTGAAATAAGAAAAAAATTTGAATACCAGGCCTAATATTTATTTCTATTTCTAATATTTCTTCCATTGTGCGCAGGCCTAAGACTCTGCGTATAATAAAAGAAATTGGAACAAGGATAAATATTAAATTTATTGCGAATGTTTGAATATAACATTTTTGATAAAAGTATCAACCGGTTTACACAAATTAACTCGAGTGAGAGTATTTTTTTAATTATAATGATATTTTCCACGTAAAGAATATTTTCAGTAGACGAAAAATACTTAACTAAATTCTAGTTAACTTAGAAATTTATCTGTCGGGGCCGATTTACCAACGTCAATTACAATACTTAATCGGCCGTAGAACTAACCGATCGCATTTGCTGTTTAGTAGAATTGACCAATTACAGTTGACAGTTAATCATCGATTAGGGTTAATCGAGTGGTGAAATCGATTTTTTTTTAGCCAGCTAACGCTAAATATTTCCGAATTATTCATAAAAGGTTCCTAAAATCTCAAAAAAAATATTTCAACACATTCCAGAATATTCCGAAATATTTACAAAGTATGAAAGCAACATTCAAATATTGGTTAAAAATTTCATTTATACATATATCGTTATATATATTTGGAGAATGTTTTATATATACGTATACAAAATTTTAATTTTTCCAGAAATTCCAGATCTAGTAATCCCTGAAACATTCTTTGAAATCAAATTTTACTATAGAAAATACATTAATTTCAGGTTCTTTTATCTTAATTGAAGCCCAATTTTGAGGCTCAATTCATATCTTCACAGAGGCGAAATGCTGCATCATTTCATCACATATGCACATTTTGTGACAATTTTTTTATCGTTTCGGAATATTCGGCACATTGGAAATACGAATTGAATTTTCTATAAATGTTTAACGTTAGCTGGGGCTATTTCTTACAATTATAGGATCCAACTCTTCACACATCAAGATTCGAATTATTCGAACAATTCGAACATTCAAATTTTAGTAATAGAATAATTTCAATGAAAAGAATTCGAGTATTAAATCCAAATCATAGTTACAATTTTAATATATACGTTCTGTACATACGTTATAATTCTAATATATACGTTGCGATACTATTTCTAATATAAATTCCATTGAAATACATGTAAATACATTTGCTGCAACGGAAGGAAAACTTGATAAAAACAGAAAGAAAATCAATAAGCGCGCGAAAAAAGGATAAAGTGATTTAAAAATCGAGAAAGGATATGGAATATGGAGTATTAACAGTTTAATTGATTCACTGAAATATTTAGTTTAATTCTTAATCGAATACTGATGATCCTAATTACAAATAAAACATAAAATTTTATAAAATATTTTACTTGGAATTTATGTTAAATTATATCATTGATATATGCTACTTTGTTTTAATAACTTAAATAATTCAAATTGCCTATGATTCTATTAAATTTAATAACAATGTCAAATATAACACAAAAAATAATTCCTTTAAAAAGTAATTGTAAAAACACGTTTCTATTCTTAGAGATTTAATAATGCAGCCATAACCGTAAAGGAATTAGCTGCGCAACCAGAAGATGAAGATTTACTCGAATTGTACGCATTGTACAAGCAATCTACTATTGGCGACTGCAATACAGGTATGTTCTCATAAATTTTTGCGTATAGTTTATTACCCAACAGTACAGAATATTTATGATAAATATTTATTACTATTAATTTTTTGACATGTTATATATATATATGTGTAGTATATATAAAATAATAATATATATAACAATATTATATATATATATATGTGTATACACACACGCATGAACTATTTTAATTTATCCAATCAATTTTCTCAAAATCTGTAAGTTTAATGCCCACACAATTTCTTCACCTCTAGATAACTTTATCTAAGAAATATCTTCTAGAATATAATAGGGATATCTCCTGGATAAAGTTGTCCGTAATCTCTACTTGGAAGTGAAGAAATTGGCCATAAGGCAAAAATGTAAGACAAAAATTTTATGGTTTCAAGAGGGAAAAGTTTGTAACCTTGGTTGACCTTGAAAAGATATTCTTAAGATCAGGTCAATTTGATCTAAAAATTTTTTAATCGAACTCATTTTTTATTACATATTTTTATAGCTGACTTTAGGATCTCTTGAAAACACTTTTTTCTTCCAGTAAAAGCTGTAGCTGTTATAAAGAGACGTATGCAACATTTTTTGAGATTTTCAATTCGGTTAATTTTTGACCGAGTCGCAGGGCTCCTAAATTTTTGGAACTCTGTAACATGAATAAGAGGAATTAAAACGATTAATTAACGTAAATCCTCTTCTCTCTCATGATTTAAATTGCTTGATTAACATGAGTCCCCTTATTCCTCATGATTCGAGCTGCTTGATTAACATGAGTTGGTGACTTTAAACTGACCTTAGACCAAATTAAATCGTAATGTGTAAGTTGTTAATGTTATAATTGTGAACGACATTCCAAAGATTTTTTAGCCATCGATTTGATACTTTGAATTCAAATGCCATCAGTATTAAAATTTTTGAACGTCATAACTCGAAAAATACTTAATGAAAATAAACTTTATTACGTATGACCACACATAAAAAAATATTTACAAATATTTTGTAAATATTTGATAAATATTGTGTGCTGTTTGGGTATTTATCGTATATATTTTATATTTATATATAATTCTTGTGATCCATATAAACTTTTTTTTTTAGAGAGACCGGGTATGTTGGATTTTAAAGGAAAAGCGAAATGGGACGCTTGGAATGGTAAAAAAAGTATGGGACAAGAAACGGCGAAAGAGCAGTACATCACTAAAGTGGAAGCATTAATTGCTTCTATTGGAAAGAAGTAGTAGATTCATTCATTACGCGTATACATGCACATGAATATTTATCTTACGATTTCACTCAATTGATTACAAAACTTTTTCACTATTGATAGAGAAACACTCAAAATTATGCAAACATATATGCAAATGATTATGTATAGATATAGTATATAAATACCGATTTTATTTATTAGAATTTACACAAATTTTTGTTCCACCGATTTATGTGAATTTTGTATCCAATGATTTTATTGCAATTAGTATAAAACTATTTGTGGCATATACCTTGATTTTCCTTTTTTCAAACAGTACTTTGATCTCTGCCGTTTATGATAGTCCCATACTGAAACTGCACACTTTGCTTATACTCAAGATGATTAGTGTATATTAATAATGTATTTCTATAACATTTTTTTCTTATCATTATATACACATATGTAAATAGATATAATCAAAGGAAATACGCTCAAAAAACGATTCTTCTAACAGTTTTTCAACGGTGCACATCAGCGCGTATTTAGCTAAAACTTAAATCAGTAAATAACGCTAGAGCCAACGACAATAAAAATACACAGCGATGAAAATAAATTATGCTATTAATCGATACGAGATACATTTATAAGTATTTTTATCATTTTGATAACTGGTAAATATTTATAAAAAGTTAGCACCTTCAAAAATCAATTAACTTGACGTATGTTGTCAAGGTTATAACCCTGAGTAACCTTCAATAAATTTTAGTCATCGTCCACTGTTTATTAAAAAGTTTATTAATGCAAAATTAATAAAAGTAGTCTAATCCAAATCACGTATTGTTGTAGGATGACTCTTCGCATTGTAAAATGTATGCATGATACATAGCATATGATATATATAAATAAGATGATTTATTTATAAATAAACCATTTTGATTTATTTAAATAAACTTACTGTACCAAATCTTATTGGACCGTGATAGTTTTAAACTAAATACCGATGAGAACATACCGTAACGGTCAAACTGGATTTTGGATTCTTCTAATATAATTTCGGCGCGCATTTAAGAATCTACATACGTAGTATATAAATTCACACGAAATTATATTAGAAGAATCCAGTTTGACCGTTACGGTATGTTTTCATCAGTATTTAGTTTTAAACTTACTGTATCATGCATACATAAAAAAAATGTAACCTAATCCAATCTATATTTTAATGTGGTCTCCGCTTTGCGTTGTAAGTTGTACGAAAATTTACAATAAAAGATGTTAATGTTTTTAACACTCATTTTTGTAAACATACTTTTTAATAAATAATAAGCAACGGTTAAAATTTATTGAAGGTTATTGAGGATCATGACCTTGACAATATATATTAAGACCATTGATTTTTGAAGATTGACATTTTGTAAATATTTATCTGAGAAATTATAAGATGTTGCATCAATTTTGTAATTTAACGATAATCAAAGTTTAAGTTAGCAATTGGCATTGATTATGTCATACAACTGGGTAGAGACAAGAACGATGTTACTTGTAAATTAGTCTCAATTTGCGGCGTAAAAGATATGATATCGCGAATAACTAATTAAATTCAAATAGCTCTTTTTTTAAATGAAGAATTTTATTATACGAACCGCGTGGATATGTCAAGCCAGTCGTGTAATCATTACAAGATACTTTCTCTCTCTGAATCCTTACACAGATTAACAACATTTTTTGTTGATTAATTTATGAATTTTTGTCAGATAATAATGAATAGAGTAGTAGTATAGTATCGAAAACTAAAATTTATCCGGAATTAAATCTGTCGAATATATCAGGAGCGCACACTCGTCGACTTGATTACATGAGGAACTTGATACAAGAGCGAAGAAATTTATTTCCTTTTATTTCTATCGTGCTTCTTATTCATGTGCGGATGGTGACGCGTCTTTACTCTGCTAACTTTTACATAGTCGCCATAGGTCGTATTCGAGTTGTGGTTATCCATCGTGTTATCGTTGACGTTTTCGCAGACTTGATGACTCGTCGATGCATCGTCGAACCTAACATACAAACAAAACGAGATGACAGAAAACTAAATCTCGTGTAAAAAGTAATTCGCTCTTGTTTTTATGTAAATTCCAATTATTAACGCTCCGATCACTCGGGCTTAGAGAGCCTATCTCACTATCATTGATTGTCAATTATCGGCGAGTAACGCGCGTTAAGAGCATATCGACTGACATTACGTTCTCAATGGACATGACTCTGCGAGGGGAGCAACTGTGTCGAGAGATACCAACGCGGATACTAGATACTTGTTTACAGATGTTTAAATCGTGATGACAGGAATTTCTCAATTGCCAAGGAGAGATCGTGCGAGTGAGATGTGTTTTAACTGTACGTTATTGATTGTGGTACGCCGTTCACTGTCTTTGATTTCAGAATATCATTTTCATAAGACATTATGGTTTCTTTTCCATTTTCGTAGACTCTGTAAAAGACATAAGAAACAAAAGATACAATTAGAAGAGATATAAAATGCTATTGAATCTTATATAAAGCACACGGGATAAATAGGCGTGCGTGCGTGTACGTGTATAAGATATGTCGAGATTTTGTTTACTTTTTGGTTGTAATTTTTTTTCCATCAATGAATCGAGTTGAGGTGCTGGTACGTTTTATAGCACTGCTATCACTCGTTCCGTCGAAACTAGTGAAAGTACCGAAAGAAGTGAAATTTCCTGCAGCACCAGCATTTTCCATCAAATCGTTAAACGGTAAACGAAAGCCAAATCCAAAGGGTCCGAAGAAAGAAGTACTCAGGCTATTACTGGTCGAGTGATCGTGTCTTCCTCTTCGGGAACCTCCACCGTGAAAACCTGCAAAATTTGATGTTCGCAACGTTTGCCTTTCGATAACTTAATTATATTTTCTATCTCTAGGTATTTGTATCTTACCGGCGAACAAATCTTCGAACGGTATTCCATCGAAAAATTCTCTAAATACTTCCTCAGGATCCCTAAAAACAAATGTGCCGCCGAAGTGCGAATCAAAATCATCTCCGTGGCGTCGTTTGCCTCCGGGCATTTGAAGACCGTCCTTGCCATACTGATCGTAAACACGCCTCTTCTTCTCTAAAAACGTTCAAGACATTTATTATTTGAATCCTGATTGTAATTTCCATCATAATTTTGATCCTTTCAACCAAAACCCAACAAGCGAGGCTTCTGCAAGTCTTGCCAAAGGTTAATCCAATATTAGTCCAATATCGACGTGTAAGTTGGAATATAATGAGAAGAGTGTTGAAGAAAATTTATCATAAACTTCTATACTGTACATTAGACTCAAATACATGGCTCCGAAAAATATGTATAAAATTTATCTGTATATGTGAAGCTAGAAAGAAATCAATGCACATATAGTATACGATACATACATACGTACGTCAAACTGTATACTGTTACATGTTACATTGGTCTTTATCTTCAAATTTCGTTAATAATTAAATCGGTCTTTATACGAATAAAAAAATTATCTATAGGCAAAATAGATAATTTTTTAAATAAACTATATGTTTTTTTACACAAATTGATTGTCATCATTATTCTGTTCATAAAAGTATTAAGATTATCAAAATATTAATAGTTATGAGATATTTAACATTTTATATTAACATATGCCAGAATAAAGTATAAAATATTTCAAACTATTATTTTTTTAATATATGATTTTATCTTAATACTTTCAGAATAACTAGAGAAATCATATTATGTAAAAAAATTCATGTTGTGCCATTTGAAAGAGTGGAGGTGACCTTAAATTTTTTTAACGCCTTCACCTAGAAAAAATCAGACTAAAATATGTTTCCCTTGAAACCGTTCCGTTTCCATCTAAAACTTTTTTCGTACCATCAAAAATAAGTGAAATATTTAAGTCTGTATAGTACATAGTTTTTGAAGATAACTTTTAAGTACAGTAAATAAGGAAGTTATCGATCTAGTGTATAGTACAGAAGTCTGTGGAATTTATCATATATCGCTTCTATATATTAACTATATTGTTTTTAGTTCGTAAAAATTGAATTTTCCATCAGGAGTATAACTCTCTTGAATCAAATTATAATTTACTAGCTGTTAGTACATGTTGACAATAGAACGCAAGCAGGGTTAACTGCAACACGTGGTTATTTGATATGATATTAGAAACTAAAAGAAAACTCGCAAATATTTTTTCTTTTCGAAGAGATAAAAAGATATAAGCAATCAAATATGCATCTCGTGATATTCGTATTTGAACTCGTTCTAATCAAAGAGAGATATTCATAAATTAATTAATCTATTAATTATAATATGAATCAAGTACTAGCACAATTTTTATAAATAGTATTGCGTTTTAAATTCATCTCGCGACTCAAAATTATCAAATAGTTATCGTAGTCGCCTATCGCTTTTCGCGCTTGTTTCCGGCGATACTTAAATCTTTTAAACAAAAAAAAAGAGACGCGAAAAAACATATTGCAGCACGTTATTAAGGTAAATAAAAAAAGAAAAAAACTACACAATGCTTTGAGCACTCTGCAAATCATATTTTTCAAGTGGTACCAAAGTATCGCTGAAAGGGAGAATCAAAGAAACTCCGGAAGGTGAATCCACGGCCGGGCCTTGATGCCGCCTTCTGATATAAGCGTTGATCGTAAGTGCGTCTCTTTACATCTGGAAAGATTTTCTATATCGCCCCGATCTTTTTCGTACATACATATATACTTCTCGTTTGCGATCATTTGTATTCTTTCTCGATAATCTATTGTACAATCCGCAATTTATACAATCTAAGAAGCTTTCGTTTTATTACATTGATGTCTCGGCTGAAGAGAAGCGACGACTTCTAATTCAATTGTGTTAATCCTCTAAAGGAATATCAAAAAGTGATTTTTATTACCAAGACAGTATGTTAAATTTTGTACTATTTCTTATATTTTTGGTTGTATTACATGGTTACATCCATTTGCTGTCAAAGTGTGACGAAAAGAGATAAAAATAAATTATCAGCAAAGATGGATCATTTATGATCCTATTTTTTTCGCAAATACAGTATAACTCGTTACAAAAATAAATACGGAGTGTATTGTCAACGTCGCTGAACAGAAATCTAAATACTTGTATAAGTACACAGACTTATTAATATATATAATTTCGAATGTATGTCGAAATATATTATTAGAAAAAAACAATATACTATCAGAGAAAAAACAATGTCTATTACCAAATAATATACCTAAAAAATACTATTATATGTGTGATTACAATTGTTATGGATTTTTAACTCAAACATTTTAACGACAAATAAATTCCACCATGTGATCCTATAACCAAAAAACTATTAAGAAACAGTAAAAATCATGCAAATTTTACTAAAAGGCCGGCTTGGAAACAAAAATCGACTACTTTTAACATCCTTTCTTGTAACTGGTACGATTCCAATAATTTCAGCGATATAATTTAATCAATATGTTTAATTGTTTATATGTTTCCGCTAAAAACAGTATGAACAGTTAGAACGCGAAAACTTCTGTAAATTACGAGCATTGTTTCATATTTCTTTGTAGAATATTCCGTGAACTTAATAATACTGTACTTAAAGATAGACCTCCGAGATTGTTTTGAGACAAAAATTCTAATGCAAAAATGTCTATAATGTAATAATAGTTTTTGAGCTACAATTTAAAGTTAATGGATCAGGGTCGTTTAAAATTCACACGCTCACGATATAAAAACGAAAACTGATTGCTATTCCCCTCGTCAATCCTCAATATAAGGATTTTATACAATGTATTAAGGTGGTCTAACTTTATTCTTGTATATGTAATTTTTTTCGAATTTTTTCCGTAACATCTTCCAGAATAGTCACAATCCATAACAAAATAATTCTTACCAAGTTTCAGCTAGACTGGACAACAAACCTATGTCGATGACTAATAAATAAACTAAATAAACATTTGAGAGTTTTCTCAATATATTATACAATATTATCAATATTTGTTTTTAAAGCATATTTTCTATAACAATTAGTTTAGAGGACTTTTCTTTCTTCTAACATGTGTGTCTTGCTTTTTTGCATCATTTGAGACCTTATATCTTATTTAAACAATTAGATTAGATATATTTTTAATTATTTATTTTTATTTAAAAAATAAAATCACTTTAAATGATTTACTTTTATTTGTACCTTGTGCGCGCGTGTGCGTGTGTGTGAGCCCGGATAATACAAAGTACAAAATCGAAACATAAAACACGTGTCTTATATCATAGAAACGCGTTCTAAATAAAATAATATAGTCTAAACCAGTTGGCTTTATATCAAAAATGAAAAAATTTAAGACATTTTTAAACTCACAGTAAAAATATTACAGTAAGGAAATGCCAAATTTGAGCCAACACTAGCCAACACATCGAGTGTGTATACATGTTGTATTGGTTTATTAACATGTTCTATTCAAAATTATCTTTTAATTATTACGCTACAGTTTTTTTCGCTGAAGTGTAACAATTTGAAGTGTGTAATAAATTTTCTCCCGAATATTACTTTTTTTTTTTTTTAACAAAGTGATCTTTTAATTGTTTTGTGAGTATAAAAATATTAATACAAAGAATTATAGAAAATTTAATAGATAAGTTAAAAAAAGCGTGCTGTATAGAGACTGACTAAGAGTTTTAAATTTTAATAATCATTTTTACAATTAATATTGATAAATAATATAATTTTTAAATGTAATATCTATTTTGATATTTAACTTCAATATTTTACTTTAAAATCACAAAAAGTAACAAATCATTACTTTCCAAATAACAATAATGATAATATATTTCTTTTTAAAATATTATAATAACGAGTAACGCTTTTATGCGTTATTTTTATAAAATAAGTTTCCAATCCTGCAGTAATGAAATATTTAATTTCGACAGCAACAAAATTGCTTCAACATATGTGTGTCTCATATTATAATTATAATATTAAAATATACTAAGATTTTAAAATGATAAAATAATGTGAAAATGAGATCACATTCAGTATCTGAAAAAACTACCAGAAATGATTACCTTTGTTTGTGTGTATTTTTTTTTTTGTTGAACATTGTCTCGGCACATGTATGTATACTTACCGTCGCTCAAGACTTCGTATGCTTCTGAGATTTCCTTGAATCTTTTATTCGCCTCTTCCAAATTATCCGGATTCTTGTCCGGATGCCATTTTAATGCCAGCTTTCTATACCTATGGAGCAAAAATATGCCGGATATTACGTTAGCGAAGTTTGTCAAAAATACGACTGGGTGATTATTTCACAAGATTTCAAAGCTTAGTTCAGATCATTTACAACGTCGTATCCCCGAGAGAAGATAGATAGACGAAGAATCGATAAACAGATTGAACTTACGCCTTTTTAATGTCAGCGCTACTAGAAGTTCGCTGTACTTCGAGCACCTTGTAGTAATCGACCATCGTTCAACACGTTCAGGGATGGATCAGGATTAAGAAACCACCTGTCGAACAATACAAGAGAATCAACAGAAGTAAACAATTAAACCGGAGAATCGATTCCAATACGATAATGTAACGAAATATACGATCGAAATAATTGAAAAGTGGAGGTCAGTTACGATAGCGAAATTTGTAAAAATACCTAATTTTAAAGGTAACTTCTCTCTTGTGAACCGATCATTCGACTGGCGTCTAAGTTTTGTATATAATTCTTTATATAATATATTTTCGCAATATTTTCATCAAATCTTGGAAGACCTAATTAGTACTTAATTCTACTGTATTTGTTTTTTTTTTTGTTTACGCAATAAATATATTTTTTTACGGGGAGGGGGGGCTAACTTAATGTTAAGCCAGCCCCATCCTGCTATGTTTTTTTTCTGCCAAGCAATTCGAGTAGTTAATTTCGCACTTCGGCACTTAATTAACACCTAATTAGCACCTAATTTTGGAATGAGTTAGAATTTATTTAGCGCTGATGAGGGGGGGGGGGGGCAACTTAACAGACATGCTATACTAAAATACTAAATTATCTCAGTAAGATCACGAGTTAAATTGACTAATAATTTAACAATTTTTTATGCTCTTTACGCATTTCAGATCAATCTTAATAATGTTAAATGACATATTAAAATCTATAAATAATTAATTCTTATTACACACACAAAAAATATTATTTCGGCCGAGAGTCGAACCTGGTTTTACTTCTCACGGTCCTATAAGATTTAATATTGTTTATTTATGTCGCCTGAAATTGACGTTATTCGTACACATATGCTAATTATTGCGAAAAATATTATTAAGGCCTCGGTAATCTAAAGGCTTAGGACACTCGCACGAAATGCAAGAGATTCGATTTCCGGCCGAGGTAATATTTTTCGCGCAATAAGAATTAATTATTTATAGATTTTAATATCGTTCGATATTATTAAGATCGATCTAAGATGCGTAAAAAGCATAAAAAATTGTTAAATTATTATTAGTCAAACTTGTGATATTACTGTAATAATTTAGTAAAGCTTGCGTTTCAAGTCTGAAAAATTGTTCGGCGCGTAATTAAAGAGACTACATATATTGTATATAAATTCACACGCAATTATAGAAGCACCCAAGATACAGCTTAACCATTAAGGCTTGTTTTTCATTGGCTAATTTGATTTTCAAGTTTAATCTGAGTAAAATGACTTAATAAAAACTAAACTAAAAAAATAGCCCAATACTTTATTATAAATTACGAAATTGTGACAAAACGCAAAGCCCTTGAATCTGTTTCCAATGGTACACTTACGCACGCATAAATTCTTATATTTTAAATAAGTTTTATATCACAAATTGTCTATATCTCAAAATTTCGTAGTAAATACCTAAATCTACTTTAAACAAAGAACTGTATTTTTTTCCTTTTAAATTAATTTTATTTTTAACTTAACCACCCTGTTAAAACGGTCTTAAAGAACAAATCATGAATACATATCTATGGCCGGTATTCATAGTCGGTTCTTATTTTAAGACCATTTTAAGTATAAATGTTTTAAAATACTGATACGACTTCTGATTAGCTTATGACATTTTAAAGACCGTACTTAAGACAGCCACAAATATAAGAATCGACTGTGAATACTTGTCTATATTGCGGTTTTCAGAGAGATACGTCATATGAACGTTTTTCGATCGAACGTGTTTTGCGATTGATCAAACGGGAAAGGATTAATTTTACGCGCAAAGAAGTGACGTCGCAAAAAAATACGTCAATTTGAAAAAAAAAGAAGTACGTACTCGTGAAAGACACATAAGAGAAGCGATTCTAGTGGGCGTCCATATCATGCTCTTACAGAGAAGCATGACGTCAGTTTTACGTATTTGGCCAGCGAACGACATATCGAAGCAAAGGATTTCGTGTGCGCGAAACATTGCAAAAGCAATGTCTCCTCGCTCGCGCGAATCTCTTTCCACGTATTATCTTTGTCAAATACTTACGATACGAATATATTACGATACCTTATGAAAATTTTTTGAGCCTTTAATTATTCGAAATATTAATTTAAATTTTAATAAGAACAGACCTAATGAGAGGACAAAACTAAAAATTTTCTCGGTATGTTATATTTTATGAAATGTAATAATTATATACAATAAATTATACTTATTTAAAAAAAAGTACTTTGAACTTGTTAGCATTTGAAATGTCATTTTAAATGTTTTATTCTTGATTTACAATCATAATAAATGATTCATTAAATGATTTATCCTCTCTTATCCTCTTTCTTCTAATTACACAATATAACGTAATCTACAATTCAATATTATTCTTAATATCACGTTGTGTATTTACCTTTACATGAGTCAAGATTAGACTAATGCCCAATTTCTTCACCTCTCTAGATAACTTTATCCAAGATATACCCCAGAATACAATAAAAAAAAAACTGGATAAAATGATCCACAGTTTATCTAAAAGTGAAGAAATTAGACATGATAGCGTTTTCAACTGGGAGAACTGATACAACACTGGTGTACACTTGTAAGTGCAATTGTATTGTTCTACTATCAAAACCAATTCACGTATTTTCAGTAATTAATGTTTCACTGATCAAACTGATGCACAAAAGTTGCACTAATTGTGAGTTCAATTTTTTCTCCACCGTCTCTTAAAACAGTTGAGATCAGTGCAAATTGAAATTGACTGAATTGAGGTTGTGTTTAGGCTTTAAAAAATGATACTATATATTATTTTAAGGGGATCCTAAAGTATGTATTACCGATTAAACTATATAATTTTTATAAGTATCGTAAATACTTTTTTGTCATTCACAGATTCAAAAATCCTTTTACCGAATTAAAGTATACGCATCAATACGTGTCTGTGAGGTAGAATCTATGATGAAAACGATAACAAATTTCAAAATTGAGTTCTTTACCATTTTTTAGTTCAATATGGCGCTCCAGAGCTATTATTGTATGTCACGTCGTTGTATGTCGTAACAACATTTATTTCATATAAAAATTGCGCAATCTGTATTTAAGAAATAATAGTCTACAATCACAGTTTGCATGAACAAACAGCGTCGAGTGCTTAGAATTAGACTTAGACACTTTACCGCGACGAATTTACGATACGAAAATTGACAGGTAATGCGACTGTGTGCATCACTATCTGCGTGAGATGTCTGCGTGAGAACGGATAATTAAATTTCTGACGAAGGAGATTCGACCTGCTGAAATTCTCTGTAGATTATATCAACAATTCGGGAAATTAACTCTCTTATAGCCCTGTGTTTTTTGGCACAAGACTTTCTCTAGAGGACGAGAGAGTTGAAAATGAGAGTCACAATTCCAGGACGAGTCTAACGGAAGACAATAGCTGCGTTCAGCAGACTCAACAGTTGAGTGAGCACTCCCTACTATTGATGTGTTCTTCTAAATTAAAAAATCTGATTAGATGATCTAAAAGTATACACCAATAATGTAGAGCTCTCACTGAACTGTTGAGTCTGCTGAACAAAGCCATTATTTGTGTGGTTCGTGATCTTCTGGAGACCGACCGACACATTACATACTACTGCCAATTCCTTAACAAAGTTAAGACTGCTTATCGGACCAAAAGACGACGCCAATCGATCAGAGACATGATTTTGCTCCACGACAACGCTCAGCCACATACGACGCGCCAAAAATTGGAGCAATTTCCTGGGTTGCACTTGAACATTCCACCCCTCCCACCTACAATCCAGATTTAAGTTTATGTGACATGTTTGGACCCCTGAAAGAGGCGTTGAAAGGGAAGCGTTTTGTGGATGCCGCGGAAGTAGAGGTCTTCATGTGCAATTGGCTCACAATACGTTCACCTTCCTCTTATAATAAACAGCATAAAGAAACTTCCAGATAGGGAAAATGCGTTTCCAAAGTAGATTACATAGAAAAATAAAAAAATGTTTTGTATTTTTATTTCGGAAAAAAAATATTTTGAAAAGAAATTTTCGTTTATATTTGACCCACCCCCATAATTAACTCTATAATAACAACATTCCAGTATATATGTAGTAATATTTATGCAGTGACAAATATTTTGAATGTAAAGATTTTAAAATTCAAAAAAAATTAATAAAAGTTTTTTGTAAAAAAAATAAGAAATAAATCAATATATTATATATTATATATAAAATAAGTAATTTAATGATGTGTTCCACTAAACCACACTATTATTGTACAGATTTCATTGAAATCTAGCACAGTGCTGATGCTGATTCTGGGTAGAAAACGCTATAAAGTAGAGCTTGAAATTATAACATCACACAAAAAAGTAATTCGCATTTGAAGGTAGATTTGAGTTATTATCGAAACTAATACAAGTATACTATGTATTTTAAATTATATCTCTGTGAACCATTACATTATATTCTGATATTATATTTGAATATATGACCTTGATAGCTCATATTCCAAATATTATTAAAAAAAAAAAAAAAAAAATATATATATGTGTGTGTGTGTGTGTGTGTGTGTGTGTGTGTGTGTGTGTGTGTGTCATTGCACAGTAATAATATTAAAAGTAATAATAATCGATTGATAGTAGATAATTGTAAATGTAAATAGATTTTTTGGACAACTAAATTTATGATGAACTTGATAACAGATAACAGCAAAACCAAAGGTACCTTCTATTTGATAACACAAGCATTATTCTGTCGTTGATTTTCCTTTTGAGGCCTGAGTATTTTCATTTGATAGTTAATTTGTGATTAGGCTTAACCTGATGTAAAAATTAAATTTTTCTAATTATGGTTAATCACTAAACTGATAGTTTTATACTGAACAACTTTAAGAATTGCTTTTCATTTTTTTATTAACTTTTGATTTTAATATGAAAAGTAAATCAAGATTTCGAGTGTTACAACAAATGCTTGAATACTATTGACTTTGACATGATGACTAAATAATTATACATCTGTTAGCAAAATAGTAAAAACAGTAGTATAAAATATATATATATATACACAACATAAATACACAGACAAGCAATCCAACAGGAAATAAACATTGTGTGCTATCACATATACAGATTGTGTTTTGATATTCATTACAAATACTGAAAATTTATAATATATGTTACATGCATACATAGATTCTTAGTATTGGCAGTGAATACCAAAACACAACTTTTATGTGTTCAATTAACTATTCAAAGTTAATAAATAATCTGTTTCTTTTATTTGGAAAAAAGATAACTAATATATAAGAAATATAACTAAAAATAGACTCAGAGTTGGATCAAGTCAGTAAATAGCAAACAAGCTAAAATCTAAATTACAAGTTAATGAAATAATTAGAAACTAGATCTAGGAGACATAATCAACATACAAATAATTCCATCCTTCTTGACATTCAATTAATTACAAAAACAGAATGATACTTGTGTCGATTATATTTCCTAACAAAAAAGTAGCCTTTGTTACTTGTTAAACGTCAAGAAAAATAAAACGATACTTATTTGTGTTGACTTATGATATATCTAAGGCCCAGTTTAACAACTTGTAATTAATTCTTAACTGAGATTTAACTTATTCCTTATCTTTTTCTAATTCTAGAATTGGTAAAAGATGAAAAATAAGTTAAACCTTGGTTAAGAGTTGATCGTGAGTTGTGAAACTAGGCCTAAATGGAAAGCATTCACTACAATGCATAGTCTAGTTTTTAATTTTCTAGTTAATTCGTGGATAAGCTTGGTCTGATGTTTTATCCAATGGGTTTTATCAGTGATGATGTTACAAGTAAAACATATTGGGTGTCAACCATAAATTAACCAGATAATGAAAAATTGGGCTTATGAACATTGTAACTTTTGGTTATACTCTGGTTTACCATCATATACGTTTTATCAACTAAATAAGTGAACTCGTTTTCTTTATTTTTTTAGACTTTATATCAAGATTTATGCTTTTCAAAGATATTTTGGCAACGATATAGAACATACAATAAGTACCTTCGACACTATACATAGTTATTTAATTAACATCAATCACTCGAAACGTGCGAGTGTTCGATACATTCAACATTTTTTTTCAGAAACTTTCTTCGAAAGTTCATTAGTTCCTAAAGGATTTGCACGCATGTAGAAATGCGAAAAGTTTGTAATGAAAAATGAAAAGAAGGGTGTGTAATGTTATAACTATGCGACAATTGATTTCACGATTGCATAGCACTCTGTTACAAGTCTCCTTCAGAACTTACCAAAAATGGCTCCTGTTCGTTTCACGTTAATCGGTATAATTGCACTCCTTAATCGATTTTAATGATCCAAAGAAAACCGTTTTGTTTCTTGATTGGAAAGAAGGTACATACACATTCACAAAAAGTAGAGAAACGCAAAACTATCAAATTGCCTCAAACAAAGGCAACGATATATGATGCAGACGGTGTTTCGATTTTTCTATACGTGGTGAGTATATTGGTAAGTATATACAGCTGTATTCACAAGTATGACTTGAAGTGGCGTCCTCTGAAGGAGTGTGTAGTCATGAACTAAAAGTTGCAATTTTTTAAATAGGTTTCGGAATGCTGTCTACTCACTGAGCGATTGATTCTTATTTATAAATCCATAAGTAAGAAACAATCGTTCGGTGAGTGAGCAGCATTTCGAATAAACTCACAAAAAGAAAATGTTGCAATTTTATGACTGACGAGAGCGGAACCAATCACGAACGTTCCGCAGTTTTCATTACGCGGTTTCAAATCCCTTGATCTCATTTATCATTCATTTTTTATTATCAAGTATCTAAATACAGAATTAAATGCATTTCTCATTGGAAAAAATATTTAAAGATGTTAAAATTTGTGAAATTAGTTTTAATGTGATTGTAACCTTTATGAAATAACGATTTATGATTGGTTGCGCAAAGTCTGCGTTGCGCTTATTACGCTACATGGGTATTAAGGGTTCACGTTTCAACGTAACAAAACTGGCGGAATAACAACGTGGTGAGTGCAGAGATAAATTATTAGTTATTACTCACTATTAATGACAGATTTCCTAATCAAAAAATGCTTGAGAAACGTGATCGCTCGTGATTATTAGTTATTACTCACTATTAATGACAACAAATTTCCTAACCTAAAAATGGTTGAGAAACGTGAACGCTCGTGATTGGTTCCGCTCTCGTTCCGCGTTACGCTATTAATTCCGCTGCATGGGTTTGCACCCTTAGCCCGGATCCTCATACGGGCAACAGCGCTTTGACACCAAACGTTGATTGGTGAAAAACCGGTGGCGAGGGTAAAATTTAACCCTATAACCCGTTTTTCACCAATCAGCGTCCGGTGTCAAAGCGCTGTTGTCCGTATGAGGATCCGGGCTTATGCCTAGTTCACACTGGATGCGATGGACGATGAACGACGAGCGATATCCAATAAAAGCTTCGCTTTAGCTCACACGACGATGTAAAGCAGAGTTCTTATTGGTTGTCGCTCGCCGCGTATCGCTCATCACGCCTAGTGTGAACTAGGCATTAGGGAGCCTACAGACCAGAACGGCGCAGCGGTGAAGCGGCGAGCGATAACCAATGAGAGTCATGATTTTGCGTAAAAGCATGGCTCTCATTGGCACAATGGAGGAACAGATAATGGGTGCATCCAGAAGCACGACCGCTCATTGAGCGCTCAGTGAGCTCTTGTACATACCTGTTTGGTTTACATATTTAGATCTAATAGAATATGCCAATCAGATAAAAAAGCTCATTGAGTGCTTAGTGAGCGGTCGTGTTTCTGGATGCACCTATTAAATATTAAAATATTAACCTATTAGAATCGTGTATTCCGGTGTAACTGGTATCTGATAGTTATGCACTCATTAGATTTTTATGGGCGCACTTCTATCTTATCCTCTTTGTACTCTATGCAGTTTGGTACACGAAAAAAGCCGGGATGGATGTGCACTTTCAGGTTTCTTTCTGCTCTAATACATTATTTAAATTTATAACTTTTTATATTAATAACTTATTACTATCTAAATACTTCACAAATATATATACATATTTATAATTCTACAATATCTTATATATAGTCGTAAAATTATAATTTTTTCAGATAATATCAAACAAGATAAAATATTTAATATATGACAGTATAAATACTCCTTAAGTGCTAGCAAATACATCATATTCCTTGACTGCTAGCAAATACATCAAAATTGTATTTGAAGTCTTATTTACTATATTTTTTTTAAACATGACTAATTCTACTTTCATTCTTGATAATGGTGCTTGCATGGCAAAAGTTGGTTTAGCCAACGAGACACCTAAGTAAGTACTATTAAAACAGATGCTTATATTACAATTGATTGAATTGGTACATTTACTTATTAATCAATGAAAAATTTTAGATTTGTCCCAAATTGCATAATGAAAGCAAAGAGTGAACGGCGCAGACCTTTCATAGGAAATCAAATCGAAGAGTGCAGGGACGCCTCTGGACTATTTTACATTTTACCTTTTCAGAAAGGTTACCTAGTGAATTGGGATATTCAAAAAACTGTATGGGACTACATGTTCTCAAAAGATTCTTGTTCAGTTAATTTAAGTCAGTTATCTGTAATAGTAACTGAACCTATATTTAATTTTCCAAGTATTCAAGAAGCTATGACAGAGATCTTCTTTGAGGAATATGAATGTCACAGTCTCTTAAAAATAAATGCAGCAAGTCTTTCGTGTTATAATTATAGAATGGAGTATCCTACTACAAAATGCTGTATAATAGTAGATAGTGGTTATAGTTTTACACACATTATTCCTTATATTAACGATACAAAAGTAAAAGAAGGAATACGAAGAATAGATGTAGGTGGCAAGCTTTTAACAAATCATCTGAAAGAAATTATATCTTACCGTCAGTTGCATGTCATGGATGAAACATATGTAATTAATCAAGTGAAAGAAGATTGTTGTTTTGTATCGCAAGACTTCTTTAAGGATATGGAACAAGCTAGATATAAATTAGAGAATAATACTATTATTAAAGATTACGTTTTACCGGATTATACGACTCTTCGACGTGGATATCTTAAGGATCCTGAGCCATCCAACGAGCAGCAAGTATTACGTTTGACTAATGAAAGATTTGCGATACCAGAAATATTATTTCATCCGTCAGATGTTGGCATTCGACAAATGGGTATTCCAGAAGCTATCATGGATTCCATAAAAGCTTGTAGCGAAGAAACATGGCCCCATTTTCTGTCCAATATTATTCTTACTGGTGGTAATGCACAATTTCCAGGATTTAAAGACAGAGTGTACAAAGAAGTTAGAAGTTTAGCTCCAGCTGAATATTCTGTGAATGTCTATTTACCACAAAGGTATTATATATATGTATACATATTACATCTGCTACTTCTTTGTGAAAATTTAATAAGATTAATATGAGATTCTTTCAATTTTTAGTCCAGTTACTTATGCATGGTTTGGAGGGAAAAAACTTTCAGAAGACACAATATTTCCTAATCTTTTTGTGACAAGAGAAGAGTATGAAGAAGAGGGATCATCTCTGTGTTTTGAGAAATTTGATGTGTAATTTGTGTTATAAAATATCTATTATTTAAAAAATTTTTACATAATTTTGTATTACTAATTGATATAAAAATATATAAATATTAAGAAACTAATTATTTTTTTATGTCAAATTATAAAAATTAATATTGCACTATATCTTAAATAATAATTCATCATTTTATTAATATCAAATTGCTATTATTATGTAAAATATACTCTTATTCAAAAGTTATTTCCTTTGTAATAAACATACAGATAATTTTATAAATTATACCAGGTAATTTTATATATCAACGACAAAAAGTATAATAATTGTGTAAAATATAAAAAAAAGTTTAACATTTTTTAAATATAGCATGTCTACAATTGAATTATCTTCAAATTGATTTCATCTCTGCCATTAATTCTTCTAAACTTAATCCTGTAGATTCAGGAACAGTTTGTTCTGAATTGGTTGCATGGGTAGGTATTGGTACAGTATATGCCTGTCGCACACCTGAGGTTGATGATGTACATGTTTTTTTATCTGAATGATCACTCCATTCATCGACCAAGCTGATTCCTATAAAGAAAAATACTTAAGAATATAATTTGGAGATATAAATAAGATATTTTAACTATAATTATAAATAGACAACTAATGCGAGATGGTGTGCGATCACGCGATTAATTAAAATTTTTTTTAATATAATAATTCTAATATAATACAGTCTATTATAGACCATCAACTAAAAAAATCAGCAAAGATTAAAATTAATGTTGGAGAGAGAAAAAGAGAGAGAATCGTAGTCAATTAATTATGTGTGTGTGCGCGCACGCGTATGCGTGTGTAAAATTATTTATATTTAAAATTGTAATTAATCGCATGCACAATCATGCTCTAGATTTGCGTCAATCATCGATTTGTAACTATAATTATATATGAATGAGAGTCAAATGAAAAAATTAGTTTTAAAAATATTTTAGAGATTGTAACTTCCATAGATATATGTACTGTGTAAGTATTATATACCCCATTCATTATCTTCGTGTACAGGTTTCTCAATAATAGTAGTTTGCTTCTGTTGGATTTTTGGCTTTATCAAATATTCTTTTTGCCTTTGTTTACAATATGCATCATCACAATTTGGATTTGGCCGCAAAGTCATAGTGGGAAAGAAGTCTTCCATAGCATTGTAACCTAAATAATGAGATACTTTGCCAAATTTTAGCAAAAACTTTAAAGTATTTTGCACCAAAAATCCTGCTACAATACCCATCGTAGTAGGTAATGATGCAGCACATACTCCTTCACGTTTCAAAGTTTTCTCATCAATACTAGATGCTACAATCAAAGGTGGAGCACACTAAAAATTCAAATGTATTATTAAAAGAGCTGCAAAATAAATTTTATAAAATAATTCTTTAAAAAATAATTAAAAATATCATAGTGATTTTTTAATAATGTGTCAATATTTTGTTTTATGCGGTATACAAGATTTTCTATTGAATTAATAAACATTTTTGAAAAAAAGCTTTATGAACATTTATTTTATAAAAAAAAAGAATTAAACTTTAAATTTTTAGCTTTATAAACGACATTTATTTTTAAGAAAGTTGATATAAAACTGTATAATGCAGTGTTAAAACCTGAAAATTAGATAATTAAATGATATAACGTTTTATACACCATCCTATATATTGATTTTTTTAATAAAACCTTTAATAGTTTTTTCAAAATATTGTAATACAAAATAATGAAGAAGAATTCAAATTATGTATAAAAAATTTATAGATCATCTTTTTAAAATATCAATGACATTAATAATTTACAAAATATTGCATAAATTTGTCACTTATATTTTAAAACTATAAAACTTTCATCTGAAATATTTTTTACTAATATATTTAGTTCTATGTGTAAAAAAACTAATATATCACTTAAAACAAATTATTTGATATCAGTTATTGAATAATCAAAATCTTACTGCAAAACAAGCTGTTTCACCAGGTATAATAAATTGAATGTGACCGGACACTGCATTTTCAGATACACCACTTTCAAACCATTTCTGGTTAAGTTCATTACAAGCAGTATTTATTGCCATACGAGCTTCAAAATTATCGACACAACTCAGTATCAAGTCGACTGAACCATTTTGCAAACTGGAGTGACTGCAAAAACGTATGAATTTAAATTAAGTAAAACATATGTAGATTTTATAAATATATATATATATATATATATATATATTTTATTGTATTCATAAAATCTTGAAAATGATTGACAGTTGTAATGTTATAATTATGTATTTCAATTTCCACATCAGGATTTATATAACGTAAGGTATTTGCTGCAGCCTCCACTTTACTCTGCCCTGCTTGATATGGTTGGAAAAATAATCTATTCATATTTGCAAGTTCTACACTATCATAATCAAACAGTATTAACTAAAACATATAATAAAATAAAACATAGTAAAAAACATTGAATGACTCGTTTAATATAATATACATTATTATCATATTCCTACCTTTCCGATACCGCATCTTGTCAACATTTCTGCTGTTACACTACCAACACCACCAATTCCAACTATAGCTATCGTTAATTCTCGTATTTTTTCATAATTTTCAACAATACCCATACGCTTCAATGCCATCAATCGACTGCAAGATATTAGAAAGTGAGTAAAATTCAAATTTATGAAACTCAGAAAATTACTATACATTTGTTTTAGTAAAAGATTGGAGAAAAATATTTTATTTAAATAGAAATTTAAATATTGAGAAAAATATGTCATACTTCATGTTTTAGGCTAGTATTCATAGTTGATTTTTATACATATTTCAGACTGTCTTAGATACAGTCAAGAATCAAAAGACTATTAGCTTCTTAAAGGACCTATTTTGTTACTCTTAATGACTGTAACTATAATAAAAATGTTACAGTTGTTAAAAGTTACAGAATATATCTCTAAAACAATCTTAAAATAAGTACAGGTTACAAGTAGCAGCTTTGGATTATATATAATATTTATCAATATTGAAAATCTGTAATATGTATACATATAATAATAATAATAATAATAATGTAAACTATAAATTTTCAATATAGACAGTAAATACTCTCAATAATGACATAATGTTTAAAAAATGTTTAATAAAATTTTCATATAAAAAATTTACATTCGTGAAGATAATCTTTAAAAAATAAAAATAGCAATATAAAATAAAATTATAGAAGATTTATAAATAAAATAGATTTAATATAAAAAACAAAAAGAATTTAAATTAAAAAAATAAAAGCGACGAGAGAGAGAGACTAATTTTAAACTTACCTATATGGATTCGAATCCACCACTTCATCTGACATATGTTCAATCTTTTTCCTTGTTACTATCGCATCTTTAGCTTCCTTTTCTTGCAGCTCATTTTCGAGCTCTTTGACTCTTTGTCGTAAGCTTTCTATTTCATTCATATTTCAATAAAAAAAAAATAATTAAAATTTAATTCCGTTAAATTTTAATTAATTAACGTTACTACAACAATAGCAAGTGCCAGTTTTTTTGAGGTGTCTAGATGACAGGTGTCGAAATCGACATGAAAATGAAAGACTACAGAGACCTCTAGTTGAAAAATTTCTTCATTCTAAAATTTAAAGGCCATGGCTTTAAGGTGGGTCCACAACCTCGCTTTAGGCTGCATGAATTGAACAGTTGCATATGAATGTACCTTAAAGTAAATTCTACAATGTGCAGAACAGTAGTGGATCAAAGAGTAGGCGTAGAAATCGACCAATGATAATTAATTATTCTCCTCACATTCGATTATGATTTGTCGATTTCTACACCTACTCCTTCATCCACTACTGCTACTGCCCATTGTAGAATGGGCCTAAAGCCGTAATCACACTACAGCCTCCCGATTCGAATAATCAAAGTTGATCGTTCATTTTCGTCTAACCCATATGTAATAGTATGGAAGAGAACCATTATAACGCGAACATATTACCCTACGAGGTCTGATTCACGAAAAAGGCCAGGATGTTCACTCTCAGGTTTTTCTCTGGTGGAACGCACCCCATGGCCTATGAGACGAAATGATGGTTCGTGATTCGGCCAGTTCGGCTGAGTTCGGCGCGGGGTGGTGTGTTTCTTGCTTGCGTGGTTGCCTTTGCCTGTTTCGTGTACATTGTTGTCCTTGCAGTGCAGAGTAGCGAGTGGAGTGCGAGAATAATCGAAAAAATGTATCTTTCGCTAAATTTGAGTGCGATGTTGCGCACTGTGTTTAATGAATCTTACGCCTGAGTGAACCGCCGGTTCGCCGGAATCTCGAACGATCCTACATGTCTAGAGATGGAATCCTATAATATGCCTGTAACGCCTGTAACCGCCGATCATAGATTGAAATAGACTCATGGTACTGTGACGTGCCTTTGCGGGTCGGAAATCCACTTAGGAAATAGAGGAAATAGGCTCGCGATACCATCGAAGTCAGATTCCTCCAACAATTTCGTATTGAAATCGTAACGATCAATTATCCGATTCCCGTTGATTTTATTTATAGTGCCTAACTTTGCATGTGACTCGGTTTAAGACAAATATGTGTCTATTCACCGAATGACATGTCCTAATCGTAAGTGTTCATCTGCAAATCCTGCAATGAATGAGCAACAGAATGGTGGAATGTAGAAACATAATGAAACAGTCATGGCTATGTGTGTGTATGTGTGTGTGTGTGGTGAGTGCGCACGCGCATGGTGTGTATGTGTGTGTGATGTGTGTGCGCGTGTGCATATTTGTATGTGTGTGTGTCATTAATGACATTTGAAGTACATGATGTGTCATAAAAGATTTTTGTGTGCTGCTTACCTCACACATATCTAATTATATCCTTTTATGTAGTTTCAATGAGTTTCAGGATTACGTTTATCGGTGTATTATATATATATATATATATTATACATCGTAACGTAAATATAGACAAGTTGAAAAAGTTCTGTCTATAGTGATAGAAAAAAGGAGGGAGGGAGGGGAGATCATGTACTATTGTTATTTGTATTGAGTTTCTGCCTTTAAAAACTGTACATTGACTGTACGGTATAATTATATAGTATATAAAATGGATTTTTTAAAGAAAACATAGAAAATCAACTAAATTAAAAAACAAATAAATTGAAAACTTTAAGGACTCTTTTGTATAATAATAATCAATATGTTAAACAAGGGCGAAGTAAGAGTCAAATTATAATTAAAAATCTAATTAAATAAGTCTGATAATTTATTCTATATATTGTGATATAATACAATATATTAGAATAAATTATCAGAGTTATTTAATTACATTTTTAATTATAATTTGACTCTTACTTTGCCCTTGTTTAACGTATTGATTATCAACTAAATTAAATTATAAGTAGTCAATATTTCTTAATATAGATGGGGGAGAAAGAGAAGGGAGGAGGAAGATACCTATATAAAAATTTACTAAAATTTAAAGAAAATATAAAGACATGTATATTAACCCTCTGCTAGCAACATGAAATTTAAATTCTTCCATCAGCAATAGAGAAGCCTTTAAGAAGCTTTTATTGTTCTATAAAGATTTGAAAAAAAATTGACATAGGTACTTGTCAAAAACTTTAACATATTTTTATTATTATAGAAATTGAATTATACTTTAATTAATTTTTAAATTTAAATTTATCTGTTAAAATTCATAATTAAAGTATCGCTTTCAAAGATCCCTGTTGTTGGCAGAAGAATCAAATTGGCTGTTAAATACAGTAAATAAATAATTGTAAACAAATAAATAGAATAAAAATTATAAGTCAAAGAAATCATGATTAAATTTAGCACAATTTGGTTATAATTTTTCTATTAACAGACTTATTTTTAGCTTATTTATCTGCATAAAATAAATTTGTTCCTAGCTAATCATTTGCCTGTTAGTGTGTTGGACATGGATTCTCTTACAATTAACTAAAATCGTTACAATTGAAACAAAATTTATAAGAAAAGAAATTCAAAATGGAATCAGCTATAGCTGGACGAAAGCGAACTGCTACACGGCATTCTGCAGAAGACCAAGCACTTGATCAAATAGCTAAGGAGGTATGATCTTTATGATAAAATTGTAATATTGAAAAAATTAATACAGATAAAAATAAGATATTGCAAAATTATATACTATAATTTGTACAAATCATTTAATTGTTAAAAATAATGCAATTATTCTAATTATTTTTTCATTATGTATATAATATAAAAATATATAACTTTTTTTTTTAAATAAGAAATATATATATTACGAGCTCATATAATATACATTTCTTATTTTAAGGATTTGGTATTTAGAATACACATAACAATGTTAGCACCATACATGCTATGGTTTATGTTAAACATACCATAGAATTTCAGAGATAAAAATGCATTCTGAATACGATCGTAAAAATATAAGTTATTGTGCTAAATTAACTAACATTGTGTACCTATATTTTAATTAACTTAAGATAATGCTTATAAACATATAGATGTATGTATTTATAACTGTTGGCAAAAATATTTCTTACACTTTTATATATTTAAACTATGCTTTTCGTGGGTTTTCTCCATATCCGAATCCATTCTTAGAATGCCAACGTTTTGTGAATATTTAAAAAAAAATGCATATTTTTCGAGAAATTAGCAGGTACAGTTGTTTTGTCACACCCTGTTTTTATTTGTTGCATTAAATTATACAAAAAATATATATAAATTTTATATCTTCTTAAATTAACTATTGCATTTAACTGTATTATTTACTCAATCTAAATATTAAGCTTGAATTATGCAGCAACTATACATAATACTATACATAAATAATTTGTCTTTTTATAAAATAAAATTAAATGTTAGGTCAAAAATTTCTAATGAACAAGTTCATAATTATTTACTAATTATTCTAATAGATATTCTATACTAGAACTTTATAATATGGTTATTGATAATAAACCAATAATGTAAATATATTTTTTATAATAGATTTGATTTTCTGTATATACTTTCAGGCAGAAGCAAGACTGGCTGCTAGGAGACAGGCAAGAGCCGAAGCCAGGGATATACGAATGCGTGAATTAGAAAGACAACAAAAAGAAGCAGAAGAGAATGCTGATAGGGTGTATGACATTTGTGCAGGTAGTTTAAAAAAATCATCTTGAATTTTATATTTATATTTTCATATTTTTGCAATAATTTACAATTTACACTATTACTCATTAATTTTAACATCTCCAGATTCGTTCAGCTATCTATAAAGGATGAACGTATTTTGCATAGAAATAATTCTATGTGCTATTACAAATATTTTCAGCACTCGCATATATTATATTTATACATTATTTTTTTATACATTTTTTAAAACTGTAATTTTTGAAGAAACAGGACTAATAGTCGAATTAGTGTCTGTAATCCGTGGAAATAAAATAAAATACATGCAAAGTCAATAGTGATATCAGACATATGTCCAATGCTGTTTTGAAACCGATTCGTTTCCACACGCACTATTGCTAATAAAGGAGGATATTAAAAAAAGGCCGATTTTTGTCCACGAAGGTATAAGTAACAGGAATAGCGTTTTTTTATAGATTTTGATCTCCTGAATACGAAAATGTTAATAAAAAGTTCCGGATCGATAGGGAACACCTTTTTTATTTAATTTTCTTTTTGCGCGCGTATACACACACCTGTTTCTCCTCAAAAACTTACACGGATGCATTTTGTGATAGCTGTATACAGCATTCGAATTCTGTTAATACACCATGTTCATGCTTAATTTTCAAAGTGTTCCCTATCGATCCCAAACTTTTTATTAACATTATTGTATTCAGAAGATCAAAATTGATAAAAAAAAAAACGCTATTCCTTTTACTTACTTCTTTGTAGGCAAAAATTGGCCTCTTTTTTAACATCCTCCTTTCAATACACTATCTATAAATCATCGATTGTTTAGAATGTAAAGAATAAGAAAAATTAATTTGTAATAAATATGGATTTATTTAGGCAAATAAATCTTTTTTACTTATACATACATTTGTAAATGTGCAAACTAAACATGTCACGTTTATTCTTTACAGAGAATTTGATGATATATTGAAATTAATAAAGTAGAGGCTGGTAGATAATGATACTTCTAGAACTACTTTTTTCGTGTATACACAGTATAGTGATTCATAGTATTAGTTACAAACTTCAGAGAACAATGAAGAGAGAAGGATAGCTCTTGTCAAGTACATTTCCAAAAAAGTTCAATAATCAATACTTTGCAAAATACTTTGATATTATCTAATGTGTATAGTTCAGAGTAAAAGCCATTGCTTCAAACAGCTACTTAAAAAAATATATATATATAGCAAAAAAGTAAATGCAAAATTATAAATATCATTAAAGTGTATCCTTTTCTAGGCATTAAAAAATATCACGTATATTGTGTCATAACACAACATTGATGAATTCTGGTGTTATTTGATAAAAATTATGTCACTTGATAAGACCTATCATCCCCCTCAAACTTTATTACATTTAAATCACTGTGTACATACATGTATATATTTAATATGTGATTGTAGTTGATATAAATAGAACCATGAGAGTAACTCCAGATCCAGTACGTACATCACGACTTACAAATTCCAATAATTTCCAATCGAGTCGTAGATCTTCAGAAGATTCATTGGAAGATGCAGGATTGAGCAGAGATATTAGGGTATATATATATATAGACCTCTTCTGTTTTATTACTTAATTTTTAATGATTTTAATACACAATTTTTTAAAATATATTTCTATCTAGCTGGAATTAAAAGAATTTGAAGAAAAGTTTAGAAAAGCTATGATAGCTAATGCTCAGTTAGACAATGAAAAATCGTCTTATGCCTACCAAGTTGATTTGTTGAAAGATAAATTGGAAGAATTAGAGGAAACCACTACACAATTACGTAGAGAATTAAGAGAGAAGAATCGAGATGTTGAACAATTAAAACGAGTCAGTCAACGTTTGAAAGAAGATTTAGATATTTGCAGAGCACAGTTATTAGAAAGAGATACACTTATACAAGTATGTATATTGAGTATTGTTCAAAATAAAACATAATATTGTAAAAAAATATCTTGTAATATATGTAAATTTTTATTTAATTATATGAGCCTAAAATAAATTATAATTTAGGAAAACGGTTTAGTCATTGTTGACAATAAGGAAAATGAAGATGAGGATAACGAAAATATCGAAAATGGATTATGTCATAAAAAAAAGTTATTAGTCAGTACAGAAGCTGCAGAATTATTAGAAACGGCTGGTAAAGGTTCACTAGGTATATAATTAATCAAAAAATCAAGCATTTATAATCAAACAAAATTTTATAATGTGTATACTTTTTAGATATTCGACTACGGAAATTTGCTTCTGAAAAAAAGGAATTACAAGATGAGATTCGCCATTTAAGATTGGAATTAGAAGAAACTAGAAATCGCATGAGACCCGAAAAATCATCTGGTTCGATATTAGGTTAATATTTTTATTTATATATCTCCATACAAGCATCTAAATTATACAGAATATCCCATTTTAAAAGATTCATTCAAATATCTCACAGTAATACTGTGTTAAATCAAAAAATGTTTCAGACAAAAGTTTTATGACTTTGAGGCAGCATAAGATGGTGCCATTGGTTATACCTTGGGTCAGTATTATCAAGGTCAGGACTAAGTCACGTTAAATATTTTAAATAGAACTCCCTATTTTTCATTGCATATTCTCAAAAAAATTCTCATTCCGAGAAATTGATCATCAACATATTTCGAAAGTCAATTTTTGGCAATAAAAAATTGAGTTTTCATTTAAAATATCGACGTATCCTTGATCTGACCTTGACGACCCCACCCAAGGTCAAACGTAGCACCAGGAATTGATATTTGAAACCGTACAACTTTTGTCCGAACAACTTTTCGATTAGACCTTATCCTGCGAAGATAAAAAGGTGGTATGGGTGATCTGAACATATACACATATGCACACGCTCGCGTATATATATATATATACTCGGGGAAAAAAAAATTTCATATATTTTTATATTGATTATAAATTTACAAAAACTTTTTTGAAAAGATACTTTAAATTTTTGAAATTTTATAAATTTTCTTCACAGAAATTTTAAAAAGGAAAATCTAGATGAATTCTAGAAATATAAACTTGCATATAGATTTTTATGTAAATTTCTGAAAAAATATTCTAATTTGTATAAAAAATTTGAGAAAGTTTCTAAAAACAATCATTAAAAATTCGGAAAAATTTCAAATTTATGTAAAAGTTTTAAAGAATTGTAAGAAAAATTTTCATGAATATAGTTATCGATGTATATTTTAAGAATATTGTATATTGTTTTATTCATATTGATGAATTTGTTGTTATAGGTTTATCAGATAACGAAGATATTCAACGTGAAGCAAATAAATTATTGGCCGATTATAAATTTAAATTACAAAAAGCAGAACAAGATATGTCTACACTGCAAGCAACAGTAGCTAGATTAGAAAGTCAAGTAATTCGTTACAAATCAGCTGCAGAAGCATCTGAAAAAGCAGAAGATGAGTTGAAAGTAGAAAAAAGAAAATTGCAGAGAGAAGTATGAATATTGATTTTTATTACAAATGATAAGTATACAGGTTGATTCAAAATAACCTTTTGTTCTAAAAGATATATTTCTAGCTGCATTCTGAGATGATTATTCCTTTGGCAAAAATCATCTCAGGATACGGCCAAGAATATATCCCTTTAAGGACAAAAGGTTATTTTGAATCACCGTATACAATAAATACGTATCAAAACAATTTAGAAAATTATATTTATGTCTGTTCAATATTTTTATTTAGGTAAGAGAAACACAAAGTCGTGTAGAGGAATTGGAGACAGCAAATTCTCATCTACAAAGGAGATTGGATAAACTTAAAAACGCTAAATCAGCTCTTCTAAAAGAGCTTTGACAAATTAATGTTTGCAGAGATGTACAATAAGTTTGTTACTTATATCTTAAACAAATCATAACCCGATGTTGCCTCCAATTAATATCATTTATTACTTTAAATACAATTTACAAAGGCAAAGATTACATATTACCGTTATAACATTTCATTATGTAGCGGATGTAATCCAGACATAAAAAATTGCTGTGGAAAAGATTCCTACCTCTTACATTTACTAAGTCTTTGATACCAACTTACTTTTGCATTATTTTAATGGATTAATAAGGCACTTTTTAATACTTTTTAAATTTTACGTTAAATTTTTCTATATATTTATAAAGAGTTACAGAGCCGATTCAATATTTGATACTTTCATGTAAGTAGCAAGTAATAAAATATATTCGTTTATGCCTTGTTGTAATCAATTTGTGAAAATCATTTTAAATTATATATAATTATATATATATATATATATATAATATATTTATATATTTAAAAATAGTATAAATGTCGAATATTTTTTACCATGTTAAAAGATGTTAAAAAATGGCCGATTTTAGCTTGGAGATCTAAGATAGTTTATTGGAAACTGTATTCGTGGGATCTTATAGAAAGGAAGATGCTTCCAATAGCATTCATGCACAGTTGATGCTTAGTAATTTTTTATCACTGACAAAATACTATGGGTACGTTCCATCTGGCACTCGCAACACTTGCGAGCTAGAGACCCTAGGAATAGAAGCTTGGCCAATCGCCAATGTTCCAATTAGAAATAAAATAGCGTCCATAAGATGGACGACATGAAAAGTTATAATTTGGATCGTGAAATGGTGATATCATTTTCTTTAGGCGATTTTTTTTGTAAACTCAAAAGTTTATAGTGTAAGAAGAAGGAAAATATTTTTATTACTTGATTTGATAATAATTGTTCGATCAAAAGAACATTGCGACAAAAAATTTTAATAACAAAACAGTTCTATTGTACTTTTTAATAGTTATTAACAATTTAGGTCATATATATTTAAAAAAAATATATATATAATTATGTCATGCGTATTTCTATTTTTAATAACGAATTAAAAATTGTCATTTAAACCGGATTTTTTCGCTCGAAAATCTATGTCATTATTAGCCATTAGTAGTTAATCGATCCCATTTACCGCATTCATTCGTCAATTAGCATCTCATAACGTAAATTTTGGCTCCTGCAGACAGAACGCGGAAGCGCTTGCCCGGATCTTCATATGGACAACAGAGCTTTAACTACCTGTATCATATACTCTTGATACCAGAGCAGGAATTCCATACATCGTCCTTCTTTGATAGCAACTCGCCGCTAAACTCACCCTACAATGAAAGCCTTTCCCCCCCTTTCCTACGCCGCCGCAATTCAATCAAGCTCTCAGAAGTTTCAGGCTCCTAAGGTTAATCGTAACAGTAACAATTACAAACCTAACCAGGCTACAACATATCAGAGAGCCTTCATTGGGGCCTCAAAGTTAATTGAAGAACGATGATATGATTGACGATTAATAAAAGTTTATGATTATTACATACATAAATATTTCCGAGGATAAAATATTGAAATCATGATTTTTAGTTATTAAATACTGTATAAATAAGTATGCATACTTTTAACGTTATATCTTATATATTGTCAAAAAATAACAATTTTTTTCTCTCCAGTTATCATCTCTGTTGAGTTTAATCGCGTGTCCGCTATAAATGAGATCTAGTCTTCTATATTTAATTCAGAACAGTTTATTAGAGAACAATCCTTACAACGCAACGCAATGTAAACTGCAAAAGATAATAGGAATAAAAAGATAATAGCAATCCTCTCTTTGATAGGAACAAGAGAGTGTAGAGCTAGAGCTAGAAAAAAGAAACTTTAAATAACAGTTAAACTTACGCGCTCTCATCCATACCATCTACGATTATACTTGTTCCGCTCAGCTCGCACTCATACCCCGAACTATATTACCATTATAAATACTAACAATTTCTATTGATAATTAAACTCGGATAATAACGTTAAAATCATAGTTTTTAATAAAAATCGGGTATTCTTAAGTTTTAAACACACGCGTGCGCGTGCGTGTGTGTACGAAACTAATAAATTATAAAATTACTATCATATTATCAGTTCATCATTTTTAATCACTTAAATTTTAACAATCACGCGACTTCTTTAATAGTCAAGCGTCTTTAATAGTATCTCGTGATGATCAAACATATCCTACATTGGACTA